GAGGTTTTTTGATGATCATCTTCTGGTATGAGTCTTCCAGAGAGTGCTGATGTTGGAAGTTCTTCTTCATATTGTATCTTAGTTCATTTTCTGGGTAGCCAAATTAGGCTTTGATCTTCTGTATAAAAACAAACAGACCCTTTGCCCACACTTTGATATGCCCTTTATACCATTGTGTAGAACTCATTGGAGGTCACCACACAGGAACCAGAGCATCCTGTTCTTTATGGTACTTATCAGGACTCCTTCCTTGGAGTCAGCCTCCTCTACTGAACTATATAGGTTCCTGAGGGCAGAAACTATGCCACGTTTAATTCACCATGGTATCCCCCCACCTAGCATATAGAATTTGGTCAGTGAGCAAATGCAGAATACAGTGTGAGTTACTGCTTCTTTATTTCTCTGAGCTATAACAGCCTTCCCTCTGCCCTTCCCCTCCATTTGGGGCTCTTTCCTGGAAGCCTCTGTCCCAAGCTGACCCACCTTGACTCCTGATTCTCATGCTGGTTCACATAGATAGTTTGCTCTCTTAATATCCAATTTTCAGCTCCTAGAAGGCAGGGCCACTTCTTTGCTTCTTTGCATAAACCCACTCCAGGCAGGGCCCAAAACATGGCTAGCATATAATACCTGTTTAAACTTATTGGCTCAATAAAAACTATTTTGAGACCTGAAGTTGGTGTAAAAATAAGCCATAAATTTCCTCCATGAGGGGCCAGAAGCTTCTATTCAGAACCACAAATACTGTGGAAACCAACTATGTGCCAGGCCTGACAGAGACACTCCTGTCTCTGTCCTACCTCTTAGCCAAGACCAAACCTTCATTACTGCATCCATTACAATACCGTGAGCCTATTTGCCTAAGACTCTGCTGCCTGACCAGGCTCGGAGCTCCTCAGGGCAGGGACTGAGGCTTATTTCTCAGTGTCTGTCATCTCCCTTGACAGTCACTGCAAACTGAGTGCCTCTGAAGAGATTACTGTGGGTGTAGTCAGAGTACAGATCAGTGGTTCCCAAATGCTGGCCTAGCTGCCTCAGAATCACTGGACACTTAACACAAGATCATACACCAGGCCCTACTGCAAGCCCCCTGGCACAGTGTTTTAGACCCTTTTTCACTCTGAATGAGATTCATCTGGGATGCATTCTACTTACCATCCAGGTTACTTAAGCTCTCTGAGCATCTTTTTCCACTCAGCAGGTCTGTTGTGAAGATAAAGTCCTTAGCATGGTGCTGGGCACAAGAAAGTAATCAGGAAGTGTCAGTTCCTGTCACTTTAGAAGCAAAGTCCTTGCCCTCAGGAGCTTCCAGTCCAGTGATAGAGTCAGTGTTGGTAAACAGTGCTGACACAACGCATAATCTTAAAAGTGCCTTTAAAAAACTGGTCTCCCTTCAGCCCTTGTCCTGTCTTCCCCAGGCAGTGCTTGTGACAAAGCAGTGGCTGTGACCAATGCCCCTTGCAGACCATCTTCCCAAGCCCCTACCCCTGCTCTCCGGGCTAACTGATCTAATATGTTTTCAGCCCAGGATGCCAGGAAATCCTGGTACTCAGGCAGCAGAGGAAAAAAACCCCAATCAATGAGATATTGGCATCACGTGCAGAAAGAGGACCTGGGAGCAGGCAGAAATGGAGTTCTGGGGCTAGGGAAGGCTCTGGAAGAGGACAGAAAATCAGACTAAGAATGTGGAGTCCTGCATTCTAGTGGGACCTTGAGAAAATCTTATTCTAGTCCTGCAGTTCATTGTGTGAATTTGCACAGATCACATCATAAGCCTCTTTTCTGTAAAACAACAGTAAATGATACCAGGTTGAACCACATGAAAGTGAAGGATCAGATGTTGGCAATTTCATATCATTCTCCCTAATACCTACCACATGGTGGTTTATGCCTGGCAGGCAGGAGCTCAGTCAGTGGAGCCATTCTGTGAGGGCTCTGATCGCCCAAGGCCAGCCCTGCAGCTGCTGCAGTCTGGGGCCTGGCCACTACAGGCAAGCCCTGCCTCCCTACCGCCGCACCCACACCGCCTGTCTGAGGTCAGTTGTCACCATCGTTACCAACAAACCCACTCAGTAACATCTTGGATACGTTCATGCAAAAGAGTGAGTCTGTTTGATCTCACCTGACCCCATTATGGGCCACAGAAGGGAGGCAGGACAGGCCTGCTTTCCCTATGGCATGAATGGGCAAGCTGAGGATCAGCAAGGAGGGGCATGGCCTTGCCAGGCTGGGATTAGAACCTGCACTCAGCCTCCCTGAAGGAGGAAGCAGCAGATCGCCAGTATTCCTAAGGGAGGCTGGCTTACCCCTCTAGGCTCTAGACATGGAGATGATGGGTCAACACTGGCTGTGACCCAAGAGATGGCTGCCCTGCACCAAACACAGCAGCAAACAGCAGCTGTGTCCTCCCTTTTTGGAAAAGCCTGCATTAAAAGCAGGAGACCAGGTTCTCTGCTTCAGTCACCAGATGACCTTGGTTGAGTCCCTATCAAGCTCCTCAGCATTCTCATCTAGAAAATGGGGACCATTCCGGGCCTGACAAGTAATAGCCCAAGGCATGAAAATGATGAGGGCTGGGGAAGTCATGAGTCTATTCTTGGGCCATCTGGCAGTCAGGGTTGAAACAGACTATGTCAGGAAAGGAGACAAGAAGACGCATGCTCCTGATTTTGCTGATTCTACAAAGAATTTCATCCATTAGCCTTCAATGCCAACTTAGCATTTCCACTGTCTCCACCTGAGCACCACCAACCCCACCCCAAATCAGCTCCTCTTTATTGTTGCCTGGACTAGTACAGTATCCTCCTACCCAATCTCCTCATTCCCTCCCTCAATCCATCCTCCAACAGAAGCATGTGTACTACAGGAGAACAGAGTCTAGGCTTTGAATCTATCCCAGCCACTACCCACCCCCAGTGGCCATGGTCTTGAGGTTGGTGCTCTTTCACCCCCGAGTCCCAAAATGGGAGATGACCACCTGCCCACTCCTTAACCTTTCCTACCTAATGTTGCAGCTCCTCTCCAAGCCCTTGGTTTAGACCTTTCACTGCAACAACAGTCCTGCTCCAGGGCACACAATAAGCACTCAGGAACATCACAGTCCCTTCCCTGGAAGGCCCAAATCTTTTATCTGTCACTCTCCAATGACCCTCCAAATTTCTACTGTGTATTGACAGATCTCTGTTCCTGCATGGTGAAACTAACACTTCTCCATCACCCACAAAGCACCATGTAGGTGTGGGGGAACGGGGAAAGGGAAGAGGGGGGCATATATACACAATGCCCTGCCCTGTCCCTAAGTCCTGGGTGCCAGCTCAGGCTTCCTCATCCCTCCCTCTCTGACCACCCTATTAACATTGTCAGATTAATCTCATTAGACGATAAACTCCATCTTGCCACGCCCCTGCTCAAAACTCTCAAGACTCCCGATCCCCTTCAGGATAAGATCCAAACTGCTGAGCCCAACATTGAATTCCTTTCTAGGACACTTAGCTGATGTGGGGCAGGGGTAGATGTGAACTTGATAAATATTGTTCCATGATGAATCTACAGGAATTTGGGCAGTGGCTTTTCCTGGTTAGCCACGTTTTTTTGGTGATGTCCTCTCTGCTGAGAAAGGGCTTCTCCCTCTTCTCTTCTGGCAAAGTCTGACTCATCCTTCCATGCTCAGGTGGCATGCCCCTTCTCTTAGAAGCCTTTCCAAATCCCCCCGTAGTCCAAGACTCCAAGCTCTGGCTTCCCAAAACCGTCTTTGCTTCTCTCATCCCTGGGCAGTGACACTGGATACACTAGATTCTCAATCCACCCGCTAAACTGAGATCTCCACTCAGTTTAAGGTAGTAAGTAGGTCCAATCCCCCCGTCTGTGCCCAATGCCCAGCACAGACCAGGAACAGAGGTAAAGGAGTGCTGAGTGACCAGTGAGTCATGTGCCAGTAATACAGATAAAACCAAGGATACGACCAGAAAAGCACCTTCCAGGGACTGGCCTAACCCTGCCCCCTCAGGTGCCCAGGTCTGGTCTTGCATATTCATAACTCTGAGACGCTGAAACATCAGCCAAGAAAGCCCTTACAGAGGTCACTGGATGGGACTGAGACTTTAGCCATTCTAGAAATGACTCAAACAAACAAAGCTGGTCAAAGCTCACAGAGTCTCTTGGGGTAGGGGAGGGGGTTCACTCAATCTCTCCCTACCCCAGAGCACAGCACCCCTCCAAACCCCAACTCTGCACCTAAGAGCCCTCATCTCTGACCCTCAAATGTGCAGTCTCCTTTCTTTGATTCCCCTGGGTGCCAGAGCTGGTTGGGAGGCACCAGGCTGTCCCTCCCCACACCCAAAAGGGCCCTCTATCTCTGCCCCCCAGATCACTGGACAGCAGCATATCTCTCTGAATTTTTTAACTTCTACCCAAGGCAGCCTTGGGAAAGAGCTGCCTTGCCCTACTACTGGTAGGCCCTCATCTGGGCCATCAAACTGTCTCTTAGAAAGAAAGGGAAAAAAAGATTTTACTGGTAAAAAGCAACTGTTCTTTTACTGAAGGGGAATGGGAGAAGAGAAGTGGGGCAGGGGGAAGTATATATTCCTTTTTCAGGAACCTACCACACTCATTCATCCTTGCTGGGGGCCACCCTTCACATCCCTCCAATGGCTGCATCCCAACCCCCACCCCAAGCTTTCTGGAAAGGCAGGCACCAGACTAACACATGGGGTCTCAGGTTCACAAGGGCTCTTGTAGGGGGTGTATGCCTGGGCAAGGATGCTGACAATATCTTAAGTCCATTACAAGTGGTGGCAGCTTCATGACCCCCGCCCCTCAGTCTATATCCCACCTCAGCCCCACCCTTCCCTCCAGTTTTAACCAGTACACTCGCGCCTAGCACAGGCTGGAGCTGCGAACCTCACGAAAGGCAGCAAGCTTCACAGTTCTGGCGCGGGTGTCCTCAGCACTGAGGAGAGCGGGATCACCTCGATACACAATTGACGAAGGAGGCCCAGAGAGGAGCAGCTACTTGCCCAAGGTCACACAGCGAGGCCCAGGATGCACCCAGACCTCTTGCCTACCAGCCCCAAACTCTCAGAGCCCTTCGCGCTCGTCCAGGGCTCTCCAAACGCTAGAGTGCACACACGCCCCCGGCCCCCTTACCTCTGGGACCCCAGTGGCGCCTGCCTCAGAGGCGGCTCCTGGAAGGGACGCTCAGGCCTGGCAAGACTAGACTGGGCCAGGCTAGGTCAGGGCGGGTCCTCTGCTCCCCCAACAGTGGGGATGCCGTCCGACAGGTCCCAGACGGCAGGATGCTGCTTCCCCTACAAAGTCCAACCTCCTCACCCAACTCTGCACAAGCCTGGACCCAGGAAGCCCCGACTCAGCAGCGCGGCCGCGGGGTTGCGGGACTAAGCTCAGGGAGGGGCGAGGTGCGGGAAATGGGGCGGAGCCCAAGCGGGGGCCACCGAGAACTGCCACTCAAGCCGCGTCCCCTTTAAAGCCAACCGACCTGAGCACTGGCGGGGGCGGGGTGGGGAGCTGGACAGCTCATTGCAATGCCTCCTGGGAAATGAAGTTCATGCTAGGCGAGCCGAACCACAAAGAGCCCAGAGAGAACTACAAGTCCCCGAGCGCAGCGCGCGGGTCCCGGGCTGCCACGCCCCTGGGCTGGGCTTCAGCCCTCCGCCCCTCTCGCAAAGCTGCGCTGGCCGCCCGCGGAGGGGAGGCTGCAGAACGAGGGCTGGAGGTGGGTGCGGCGCGGCCGGGAACGCAGGGCGCAGGGACAGCCAGTGAGGGGACGCGGGTCCACCTGGGCACTTGTCTTACACTATGAGGGACCATCGACCTACGCTTGCCTCGCCATTCTCATCTGTGCAATGGGGAAGGCAACTCCTGTGGCTGCAGGGGAGGGGGCGCATTCCGGGAAGAGGGGGTGGAGCTGGTGGAAGGAGCCAGTGTGGATGGTGATTATAGGAAAAGCCTGGATAAAGAGGGTAGAGACTGTGGGAGGAGCCTTTGGTGGGCGAGGCAAGAAGGGGCGGAGTCTCTAGGTGAGAAGGGGAACACGCGTTGAGGTTGGAAGAGGGTGGCTGGGGGCTTCCTGGGCTGGGGAGTGGGTGCTGAGAAAACTGATATGGCCAACCCGAGTTGGAATCGGTGTAATGGGCCAAAAGCAGTAGGTAAGGAAGGACGGAAACAATGATGGAAAGGATCACTCCCAGCCCAGAAAAGCCCCTGCAGGGGTGATGTGGGTTGGGGAGCGGGGCGGGGGTGCCCGAGTGGTCAAATACCTGCGGATGCAATGAACACCTTCCTTTCGTTGTGACTAGAAATAAAGAGCCCATCTCTTGAATTCAGTGCATCACACACATGGTCGTATTCAATTCTCACACCCTGTAAATGTGTCACAGTATCTGTTTACAGGTGAGGAAACAGGCTCAAATAAGTTAAGTGACTTGCCCAAACCATCCAGAACTCCTTCCTCAAAAGACCCAACTGCATGGTTGATGCTGCAGGGAGGTAGCAGTTAGTCTGGAGGGGATAGCAGGGAAGACCTGGTTTCCATGTGCTGTGGTTCACCGCTTGTGTGACACGACCGGCCTCCTCAGCCCTTGTGAATGCCAACCTGTAAGACAACCCTCTTATGGTTACTATGAGGATGAAATGAGGAGGTGGATTTGAAAGCCATTTGTTTATAAATTATAATAAATGTGAGGAGCAGGAAGGCCATAGGAAGGGAGCGGTTGAAATGGGGTGCTCGTGCATTAGAAAAAACACAAGATGAAGCCTGAGACTGAACTGAGAGGAAGGAAAATTCTGGAAGAGGATGGGGGATGGTGTTGGTTGTTTGGAGTCTGCACCACGTGAGATTACTTTGCTGTGCAAATGAAAAGTCTGGTTGCCAGGTCAGGTGGCTTCCCTCCTCCAGGTCACCTTTCTTTATCCCATACCCTATGGGGCAGCTCACTCCAGGGCCCATGTGTCACCTGTGTCTAGGAAGCACCTTTCCTCCTACAGTGTGAATTGTGGAGTAATGGAGCAGTCTATAGGCTCCTTAGAGGTTTGAATGGGCAAAACAGGGTACATCTGTTGGGTATGGAGAGGTGAAGGGCAGTGTTCCCACATAGTTCCCAGGGCTGTAAGTCAGTCTTTATTCTGGTGGACTAAGTCATCTAGTTTTCTGGAAGGTACATTACTCACTTAGCATCGTCATCCTTGAGATTTGCCCAACTATGATTTATCCATCTCCTTCACAGTGGGAGTTCTTACAGTTACTTCTAGGTGGATACCTGCGCCTTGTCATGCGCCTTGGATTCCAAACTGAAAATTCAAGACAGTATTTCCAACTAAAAAGTTTTAAAAATTCAGGAGGTGACAAACCTCCCTATTGGTAGATGACATTCAGTCTTGGGTGAGGAAAATGGATCTGACTAAACAAAAATTTCTTCCCCTTCTGCTACTCTGCCTGCTTCTGGGGTACAGATAGGCAAGATTCCAGCCCCACCAGGGTGGCCAGGCACCCATCTACTATACGAAAGTAAAGTGGGCCTTGGTTGGGGGTGAAAACAAAATGCTCTGAAGATGCAGAGGAGGGAATGAATTCCAGCTGAGGGGCCTGACAGATGAATGGGATTTTCCTTCACTGTGTAAGCAGAGCAGATGGCAAATACCAAATTGCAGAGATAGGAGAGGAACTAGCATGGGTGGTCTGTGAAGTAGTGATAAGAATAGTATGTACTTTATCTATGAGGTCCACATGAATAAAGTTCCTAGCACAGTAACAGCTGCACAATAAATGATAGCCATTATTATTACTGCTGCTGTTACAATAACCAACATGTACCCAGGAACTGGCCTAGAGCCACACAGTTAAGTGACAGAGCCTGATTCAAAGGTAGGCCCCAATGATGCCAAAGCCTGTGCACTTTTCTCTCCCCACGAAGCTCTTCCCATTCTTTCTGCCCACCCATAACATTTGTGAGGCCCAGAAGTGGCCTCTCTCCGTGAACAATCTCAGTGAGCCATGACAGAAGTTGTTTTCCTGCTGTAATAGACTATCCATTCAGGAGGAGGCAAGGGGAACCAGGCCTGAACAGCCATCTCCCAGCCTGCATCCCAGCACAGAGGCAGGCCTAGTGTTGTGACTTCTGTGGGTGATGGGTCCATGTAGAGAGACTACTCAGGTTTAAATTTGAATTCTTCCATCAACTGTGAGCTATTTTAGCTTAGTTGTGCTCGGCTTCCTCATCCTCCAAAGCACTGTGACACTGGGAGGTGAAAATTGTGGGGTTTTAGTGCTTCTTAGTAGTAGTAGTAACAAATCTATTAATCATTGGATCTGGCTATTTATTAGGGTCTGGTATTCTGGAACTTACACCTATAGCTCTATGAGGGAAGTGTTCTTTTCTTCCTGCCTTTTTAAAAAAAATGTTTTTAGAATTTTCAAGCCTATAGTAAAGTTTAAAGAATATCCTTTCACCTAGGGGCACCGGTTCACACTTTGTCAATTTTGCTTTTATACACACACACACACATACACACAGTCTTTTGTTAAACTATTTAGAAGTTACAGACATCTTGACATGACCCCTAAATTCTTCAGCATGTATCTCCTAATTATAACATTCTCCCACATAACCATACCATTATCATACCTAAGAAAATTAGCAAGAAGTCAATATTACATAATAAATAGTTGATATTAAAATTTTTCCAACTGCCAATAACTATCATTTTTTTAATCAGATGCAGTCAAAATTCATGCTTTGCATTTTACCTCTTTCAGCAGTTCATCTAGATAGAAGCACCTCCACCTGTTTAAATTTATCAGTGATTAGATTCAGGTTAATTTTTTTCTGGCAATGATATGTACCTTTTATTGTATCCATTAGCAGACATATGATATTGGGGTCCTACTATCCATGAATGTTAAATTTAATTATTGGTTAAGGTCATGACAGCTTGATCTTTCCATGGACTGGTAAATTTTTCCTCCTTGTGATTAATTAGTTTGCGGAGTGATCCTTTGAGACTTGGAATTCTGTGTTCCCAAGTAATCTTTCACTCTATATCCACTGATGATCCTTGCCTGAATTGCAACATTGATGGTTGGTTGCTATTCTTTGTTACAGAATATCTTTGTCCTCTCTGTGCACTCTCACTGTCTCCTCTCCCTCTCTTTTTTCTTTTTGGAGTAATAGACTCATGACATTTTTAAATTCAGTATGTTATAACCTATTACCATTATTAATCTTTTGGTACTCAATTTATCCCAAATTTGGCTGATGAAAGTTCCTTCAGGCAAGCTCCTGGTGTTTTTTTCTTAATTGAGATTTAATTGATACATAACATTGTATTAATTGTAAGTGTACAACTTAATGATTTGATGTATTATATATTGTGAAATGATTTCCACATTTAGTTACCATCCATCACCACAAATAGTGACAAAAAATTTTTCGTTTTCCTTTTGATGAGGATTTTTAACATCTGTGTTCTTTTGACATGACCTCATTAATCTTTAATTGCATCTTTGCTATCTTTCAAGAGATGTTCCAGGCTCACCTTGAACTTTTCCTGTCAAAGTCATGGAATCACCAATTTCTCCAGGAAACGCTGATTTCTTTTTGTAGGAGAAAACATTTAGAAACCAAGATCTGGAGTCAGTTGTGCTCATTGCTACTACAGTATCATTTCTAGACCCTTTGGTGAGCAGACCTAAGAAATGATAGATAGATGGATGGATGGAGGGAGGGATGGATAAGTACGTAGGTAGGCAGACAGTTATCTTTGCTTAGTACATTCATTGCAGTTACAGGTGGTCCTCACTGTGTAAAAGGAGTAGACTGCACAGGAAGTAGTTTTGTTGTTGAAGCTCAGTTGGCAGCAACGTACGAAGTTGCTCAGAAAGAGCCCATGCCTCTTCCAGGGCTCCATGAGTGTCCAGGCTGTTGGCCGGACCTCTGTGGCTGGGTTGTCTCTTGCTCAAGACCTGGATTAGGTAAGATCCCAAGTTACCTCCAAAGGACTTGTTCTCTGAGCAATGTCCAAACCCGGAACCTCCCAGAGGCCATGACTCAGAGGTCAAGAATGCACACAAAGCCCTGGACCAGGGACTCATCCCCTCTGAATTTGTAAAATAAAGGTAATGTGACCTGTTCTGGCCCAGCATTGTTGTAAAGATTTTAAATTGCTAACCAATCTTTTCAACATATGTATTACAAAATTCTCTTTTCCACTGTTTTAATAACACAGTTTGAAATATCATTGCTCTATTATCTGCTTTAATATATTTCACTAAGATAACTACTCTTTTATCAAATACTTTCAGGTTATCACTCAGCAATTTTTTGCAAACTAAGATTCTATTTTTTTTAATCTTTTGAAAAAACACTATTTGGGTTTGGAATAGAATAGTGTAACAACTATATTAGAAGAACAACTTTAAGATGTTTCACCTCCCTCTCAGAAGCAGTACATGTCTCTTAAGTCCTATTGATGCTTTTCAATAAAATTTCATTTGTCTTCTGACTTGGAGGGGACACAGACTTTGGAGAGAGACCTCAATTCTAGCTCTGTGGCTCTAGCTGTGTGATCTTAAGCACCTGTCTTCAGTACTCTGTACTTCAGTTTTTTAATCTGAAAAACTGGGTGATAATCATACCTCCTTCACAGCATCAAATTAAAATGTGGTATTTGAATGAAACAATCTACAGGAAAATGCCTCACGTAGCTTGGAGCATGTCC